CCTGGGGGGAGCTGCTTTGGGTGTGGCCAGTTGGGACATCAAGTGCAGAGAAACAAAAGGCTGGGTGTGGTGGCACATGCCTTTAATCCCAGCACTCTGGAGGCAGAGTAAGGCGTATCTCTGTGAGTTCAAGGCCAGCCTGGTCTACATAGTGAGTTCCAGGACAGCTGGGGCTACAGGGAGACACTGCATCAAAAAAAAAAAAGGAATAATATTTACAATTTGCTAATATGCGTGAGTTGGTATTCCCAAAGATAGTTAAGGTTAGTACCATCCCCAAGGCTACGACGGTATTTACTGATGGTTCTTCTACTGGACAAGCAGCTTATGTGATTTATGGGCAAAGTTATTCTTTTCAAGCTTCCCCTGCTTCAGCACAGGTAGTGGAACTTCGTGCAGTAGCTGCAGTGTTCCAGCTTCTGACCTCAACACCCTTCAGACTCTATACAGATAGTCATTATGTAGCTCCAGCTCTACAGGAAATTGAAACAGTACCTTTTATTGAAACAAGAAATGTTCAAATTTGTTTACTGTTAAGACAAGTGTAAAATAGTATTAAATCTAGAAAATATCCTTGCTATATAGGACATCTCAGAGCGCATAGTGGTCTTCCTGGGCCACTAGCTTTGGGGAATGCCTTGGCAGATAAAGCCACTCAGCTTATAGGATTGACTCAGGTAGAGCAAGCTACAAATTCTCATGCCATTCATCACCAAAATAGCCAAAGTTTGAGAAAACAATTTCATATTACTAAGGAAGCTGCAAGACAAATTGTGTGACAATGCTCATCTTGCCCTCAAACACAAATTGTTCCTCATTATGGGGTTAATCCTAGAGGGCTGAAGCCTAACCAACTGTGGCAAATGGACATTACTCATGTTCCAGATTTTGGCAGACAAAGGTATGTACAAGTTACTACAGATACATTTTCTGGCTTTATTATGGCTACTGCACAAACAGGGGAAGCCACAAAAAATGTTATAACTCATTGCTTGACTTGCTTTTCCATAGCTGGTATCCCTAACGTTATAAAAACAGATAATGGCTCTGGCTATACCAGTCAGGGATTCCAACGTTTATGTTTGCAATTGGGCATTGAGCATAAAACTGGGATACCATATAACCCACAAAGACAAGGTATAGTGGAAAGAGTTCATGGTGCTTTAAGAACACAATTACAAAAATTAAGGGGAGTTATATCCCCAGACACCAAGTAATCTTTTACATCATGCTCTTTTCATTTTAAACTTTTTGAATTTGGATAAAAATGACCACTCTGCAGCAGACAGAACGTGGCATCCTCAGTCACAGGATACCTACCCCCAAGTCAGGTGGAAGGATCCTGTAACTAGGCAATGGAATGGCCCCAACCCTGTATCAATATGGGGAAGAGGGCATGTTTGTGTTTTTCCACAGGACGCGGATGGAGCCAGGTGGCTGCCGGAGATGCTGGTGAGGTTCGCCGGACAAACGCCAAAGAAAAATTAGAAAGAATGATGAGGAGACAAACGTGGCTGCTGCTGATGTTCCCGCAAGTGATCTTGGCTGAGTTATACTGGACTTATGTTCCTGATCCACAATATTGCATCCTGCGATATAGAGATAGTAGTGACTGTGAATGACTCTTGGTTAATTGCTCAGCCTTCTTCAAAACACCTGATGATGCAAGTGGCAATGAATTTTTATTATTTTGGATTGGGAAGTGGGTTGCCTATTTGTTTTGTTAAAAATGTTAAGTCCTGTTGTGTACAAGTAGATGACTGTGTTCTTGTGGGAAAAAAGTGGATATTGTACCAATGTCAAAGTGTTATTGCCAAGAGATAATAGAGTAGAGGAAAAAAAAAA